CGGGTTTCAATTATTCCATGTTGCATAGACGCTGTTAATTAGTAGACACATAGGTAGTTTCGATATCACAATTTATTAAAAGTAACAGGCTACTCACAAGGCTAACGGCTTTTGCTAAAAACATTAAGCACATAACTAAAACAAAAGAACGGTCATGTAAATATTTTAACGGGACAAAACAATAATATTATAAAACTCATTTTGGATTACGCTAATAAACATATTTTTTCATTTATAAAAGAATCCATTATTTCTGTTGGGGGGTTTGAATTCATTATTTTCCACTGTATTGCAACGGACATAGTATATTATAACAGTTAATGAATACAATTAAGTACTGAACAGTTTTCATTCGATTTTCGCGATTTGTGGACCGTGACCACGAGAAAGGAAAGTATTCAAAATGTCGAAAATAATATTATTTATAATGACAGTCAAACGCGATATTGAAATTAACTACGAGTAAAAAAAAAAATGATAAAATGTCATATTATTTACCGTTCAATTAAAGTTTTTCAAACCCAAGTGACGTATGACACCTGGGTTCCGTGACATAATATATTCAGTCAATAAAGTATGAATAATTTGTTTAATCTATACTTTTTTTTTTGTTGTTAGATTGGCACAACTGTTTTCCATTTTAGCGCGGATTTTGATTTGCATCTGATATTAAATATTGGCTGTTTTAAGTGTTTTAGTTAAATCATGTCTAGTGAGTATTTTATAATGGACAAAAACATAGAACAAAACTTTGTCTTCAAATTTTCATCGCCAGTGAGATTTCGTGTTCGGAGTCACTGAAAATGCTACAGAAGGCTTACGGTATATCGACTTTATCAAAAAAACATGCTTATGAGTGGTACAAAGCGTTCAAAAGCGGTTGAGATGCGATGCAAGATTTGCCTCGCTCTAGTAGATCATCAACATCTGCAACTTCTAGCATCGCAAAGGCGAAGGAAGTAGAGAATGAAAATCCTCAATCAAGTTTGAGAGAGATAGTCGCTATACTTCTGTCTCTCATAAGTTGATTCGTCCATTTAAAGCGTACCATAATAATCACTTGGGTGTGAAACGTGTTGCCGCTTGGCTAGTTGCTAGTTCCAAAAGACCGTAAATTTTATCCAAAAACTCAATCGCATACGAATCACTGTCAAAGTAATGTTGACTGTTTTCTTTGACTATTCCGGACTTGGAATTCTTACCGGAAGGTCAAACGGTAAATAAAGCATATTATTTAAGCGTTATACGGCGTTTAAGAGAACAAATTCAAAGGAAAAGTCCAATAATTCCTATATAACCATAATAATACGCCTTCGCATCGCCCATCATTGTGAACCGTTTTTTGACCAAAAACTAAACGAATACCCCCGAGCAACCATCTTATTCATATAATAAGGCTTCAGCCGACTTCTTTTTTTTTCTAAAACTCAAATTACCAGTTCACGGCAGCCATTTTCATTCGGTAGAAGACAAAAAGGAGAATTTGCGGCGAGAACTGAATCCATTTCCAGAAAGAAGCATTTAAAACTGTTTTGATGATTAGATAATTCATCGGCGTAAGTGTATCTATCATTTTCGAAAGAGCATACTTTAAAGGTGATAAAATAAATTTAGATAAATAGCTAACATTTTATGTATTATTGATCTTTTCCGGCACTTTCTTGACAGAGTAGTATGACAGCGATTAAAATGTAAATTATTACAGCGCGAGAAGTATTATCTGAAAAGGGAAATTCGTCAAATATATCATTAGTTTCGGCATAGTTTCCTGTCACATGCCGGCCCCTAAACTATTTGCAAAGAAAACATATCGATTCGGGACTTCGTTGCCGCGCGAAATAACTACACAAGTGACAAATACATTCACATTTATAACATTGACCTAATAAAATAGAGTATACTGTCGTGTATGGCTCAATGAACGAATGAATGAACAAGACGTTATTGTCTCAGGGAGAAATATTTTTTACACCTGAGGGTGAGTGTTTTGTAGTTAGAGCAAATAGGACGTATCGTCTTCTCGCATTGAAACTGTATAATCTCAAAACTTACTAATTTTACAGGAGAGTGTTTTAAAAGTTTAAAACATGTGATATTTTTAAATTAATCATCTTTGCAACATTTATTTTTTACCAGTAACATTTTTTGTCTTTTAAAGTAAGACAAAATTATGTATGAATTTTGTTAAGAATAGACAAAACATAGGTAAACTAAAAAAAAAAAAAAACTAAACTACGCTCTTTTGACAGTATTTATGAGAAAAATACTGGTGATACCAAATGATTCCGCATATTAACTTAATTTCGAATGTTTTTTGGAAATTGTACACTTTTAATGCGAAAAGATGGTATGTCGTCGGCAGAAACTTCGTGATTGCAATAAGTCGATTTGGGGTTGGGGGCTGATTAAACGTGTGTCTCTCTGTCGGTTTCCATGATGATTCTAACCACAAACTAGGTTTATTATTATTTCAAAGCGTATTTTTATTTGTATAGAAGAACAATGACTTGTTCTAAAAATATTTCGGAACGTGCTTATTACAATACCTTCCTTAAATTTGTCATAAGGAAATCTTAAGTTCCTATATTTTTAAGCATGGTGCGGTTAATATTGAAATTTAATAATAATTCTGAGCACTTGTAACATGATGATGAATCAAAATTACCAAAAGATCAGTCGGGATTATAAACAATTCCGGGATCATAAACAAGTCGTCGTGACCTAAAAGATAAGACGTCTGGTGCATTTGTATCTAGCGATACACCGGGGTTCGAATCACGCAGGCGGGCACCAATTTTTCTAATGAAATTCGTACCTACTCAACAAATGGTCACGATTTACTTCCACGGTGAAGGAATAACATCGTGTAATAAAAATCAAACCCGCAAAATTATAATTTGCGTAATTACTGGTGGTAGGACCTCTTGTGAGTCCGCACGGGTAGGTACCACCACCCCGCCTATTTCTGCCGTGAAGCAGAGAGAAGCATCTTAGAACATATATCTCAAGGTGGGTGGCGCATTTATGTTGTAGATGTCTATGGGCTCCAGTAACCACTTAGCACCAGATGGGTTATGAGCTCATCCACCAATCTAAGCAATAGAATATAAATAAATAAAACCAACGACTCCAAAATAGTTTTGAGGTGGTAGACTTACGCTGTTTTGCTGACTCAACTCTTAATTTTCATTTACCGACTTGGTAATTTTTTTTAATTAAAAATGTAAAAGGTGCAGTCTCTTTTATTGTACCGGAAAAATATTTACTCTGTCAATAAGTTTTTATACGTATTATAATAAAAATAGGCTAGAATAAAAATAAGATATTTAAGTGTCTTATTTCGCCAAAATAAGCATTTTGTGTTACAACTTTTTTTTTACAACAAAAATATTTCTTTCGCCACTGGTGCGCGCATTTTTGATCACATTCAGGAAGTCTAAATTTAAATCACTTGATGACGTCAACAGTTCAATCAACGCGCTTCTGGAACTCTCCGTGTTGCGGACGGTCATATCAATGTAACGCAGTTTATTATTAGCGAACAAAGACCGACAATGGTACCCAATTAATTAACATTACAGTTATTGCAAAGCCTTGTAAATTTATTATGAAACTTGTTTATTAAAAGCGTATTGCTCTATATCAGGGTTAGAGTAAGTAATGGAGCATCCTTCGGATAAGTTTTGCTAATAATAATTATTTTTCATTTTCTAAAAGGGCGGATAAAAAAAAACCTTTAGTGGGACCGTCCATTTTGGAACATGAAATCATTCTCATTTGTATATTACGGATATTACGGTATATTACGACTGGAATATTATGGATTCATGCGTCTGAAACAGTTATACTGAGCATACGGGCTCACAACACGCTTTAAAGCTATTAAAATTTCAAAAATCTCAACAAACACAATTACTAAAATGTAAACTACTCTCACGGTGTGACGGTAGATGACCATCATCATTTCCAGAGGTTATCGCAAAAAACGACTAAAGCATCTACCAGAGTATGAGCAGTAGCGTTCTTTTAGTATTACGACAAGCAATATTGCGATCGTCAAATGGCTGGGTAACGTCATACTATTTCTGACGCTAATCAATTAAGCGTGCCCGCTTTGAGTATATGGCAACCATAGTATCAATGCAATTGGTATTGCAGTTGTATATCTCAAGTTGGGTAGGGGCTCAGGTTCTTTATACATTGCTATTGTTGTTGTAATATCTTACAAGCCGGTATGTATGTCATAGGTAATTAAAACTACTTTAATAATTTTCGAGGAAAACGTTCGACAGAAACGCCAGAAATAATATCGACGCTTGAAAGGCAAACGTGACTAAGCGACAATAACTGCTTTGTAAATAAATTATAGGCAATAACCATATTCGATGCGCAAAAAAAAATATTTTTAGGTCTATTAAAATGATTTCAATCCTACAGCTAGATTCGTTAAAATAGGTTTCTCAGGTATATTTTAAATTAATTTCAACTTTAAATGAGTCTACTGTAAAGTTCACACATTGTCGCTTAGTCACGTTTGCCTTTCAAGCGTCGATATAATTATAATAAAAAATGCGAGATTAAATCGAAATTTTGTCAACGACGCCCGAATATCGCAGAAAATTCTGTATCTATATTATTTATTCCAATAAGAATGACAAGCCAACAGGGTAACGAGTCATTAATTCGATTGTATATCTCAGCCAAAAAAAAAACAAAAGATAAAGATATTCCACGGGTGACCCAGCACTTGTTTTTCAGATTAGACTGTATAGTCAATATGGACAATAAAAAAGAACACGCACCCTTTACATTTACCCTTTAATTTAAAGATATGTGAATATCTGCCACAAAAACTAAAAAATCATAAAAAAAAACATTTATTCATTAAATTTATTTACAATGTTTTTACAAAATCTCTTAAAAACTAGATCATTTTAATATAAAAATTAACCCGTTAATATTTAAATATATTCGAATGGTATATGACATGCTCTCCTAACGACTAGGAGCGGTAGTTGCGGTAGACACACCACGAAGAACACAGCGAACGGACTGAAGAGCACGCAGACCCCCAGCCACGCCATCAGGAACCACGTGGGCAGAAACGCTATCTGTTCGAACATTGTTCATAGAATGCTGTGTACTGAAGTTGCCAAACACATACTGCAATACGTAATGGTAGTAATAACTATAATAGTGTGTATTTTGTTTGTTGCCGCTGCTTCGCCATTGACCAATGCCTCGATCAGCGTGCAATTACGAACGCCACCTGCAACCAAAATAAACAGTCTTAATATTTTGCAAGGAATATTTACCTGATAGAAGAACAGGACTAGCGTAGCATTGCTCTATTAACTGATTGTCGTCAGCTACTTTGAGTCACAAATCAAAAGTTTCAATAAAATTAAAACTGCATTTTCATCTAGAAAAATAAAACCTCTAACGATAATTACTCCAAATAGAAATTAGGTCCGTGGACGGATCATGAGGAAAATATATTTGTAGCTCGTATTTATTCGTGTATTTTGATTGATATTTGCGTAAACAATCATCGGAAATCTACCTTCCTAATATTACATCACAATAACAAAATCTCTTTATTGCTAATGGAGACAATAAAAGGGAGCTTATGAACTGAAGAATATCGTTAAGAATGTCGTAAATCGTGAATTGCATAGCATAGTTAAATTAAGGGAAGCAAGTTTAAATCAGAAATTTTGTATATAACTAGTGGAATTTGCAACAACTCCATATTCCGATATCAAAGGTTGTATGTTAACATTATTTATTACCAAATTTGTGAAACGAAAATTACAAAATATAAACTTTTTTATGTTTCCACAACGCATATTTATGTTTGAATTCAAACGTATGTTTTGTTGAAGTCAAGGCCTTGAGTGCGACTACCGACTTTAAAATTTACGACATGAAACAAAAAATAGTTTTTATTTAAGTGTGATAAGAATCGACTTGAATCCATGTCTATACCTCCGTGGCGTATAAAAGAACGATAACTTTATGTCGGTCTGAAATGAATAGACGCAGGTTGGTACCTGCGATCAGTAGTGTGTGATAAGCATATACAGAAACCAAATGTTCATTATATATTAGGGTAGTCCTTATTTAGGGTCTGTCCGAAAAAAAAATTTCACGATAGTCCTAAATCGGTTCTAAATGTATTAAAAAAAATTCTTGCCAAGTTCTTTTGTATTGCATTGTATTGAAACTTTTGTATTGTAAGTAAACAAACAATTTTTTGTATTGAAATTAATTCTAAAATACTCGTAACTCAGAAACCGTTAGAGTTAGCAAAAAATCATAAGAGACCTTTTTTGTAGAGCGTTAAATTTTCTACAAGAATTATTATTTGTCGACATGATCTGTTCATCCGTTCTTAACGTAAAAAAATCCAAAGTAATAACAGATTTTTTCCCCTGTTATTTCCATTTAAGAGTTTGGGTATCCGGGGGGCCGGGATAAAATTAAAATTAAGAGCTAAGTATAACTTGGCATGAATTCGTTTTAATAGATTTTGAACCGAATTAAGACTCGTGAAAAAAATATCGAACAAACCCTAAATAAGGACCACCCTATTCTATATAGAAATTTCATACGGTAAGCAATAAACAATAATACCTACTCCTTATTATAGGTCATTGATCTATTCAACTACAGCGATATTACGAGTATCGATAATCGATATCGATTACGAGTATTGATTGTCAACTAAAGGCTATCTGTATACTTATAAGTTATAACACTAGCAGCCAGAACAGAAAAATATACTGAAAATTTTAAATAAAATACCGCGCATTCTGCACTTTTTTAGGTTAGGACAAAATCGCGTTGGCCTCCATCATTAGCATTAAGGTACAGCCATTAATTTTAACCATTGCGCAAAGAACGGTGTTAAAAGGCCAATAATGGTATCAAGTATTCATTAGGTATGGAAAAAAACCGAATTGTTTATCAAAAAACATGCGCTCCAATTTAAGAACGACCTTGTTTTTTTGTCATTGTTATAATTGTTATCATTTAAGATGGACACATGCCGAGTAGAAAATGGATGTAAAATTAAACTTAAATTAAGCGGCAACAAGTTATTAAACTTGTATGCTCAATTGTAAGTTAACATAAAAAAAATTGCCATTTTTTCAACAAACTGTGAATAAATTCATTTTTAATCTAATTAGATTGGTTTGACTAGGTAAAATTACGGGGCATGTAGAATTTGGGAAGAAGATAATTGAGGAAACAATGCTGCTATTCGTTAACACTAATAGCGGCGTTTTTGTTGTTGCTTAGTTGTGTGAGCGAGCTCACCGCCTACCTGGTGTTAAGTGGTTACTGGAGCCCATAGACATCTACAACGTAAATGCGCCACCCACCTTGAGATATAAGTTCTTAGGTCTCAGTGTAGTTACAACGGCTGCCCCGCCCTTCAAACTGAAACGCACTACTGCTTCACGGCAGAAACAGGCAGGGTGATGGGACCTACCCGTGCGAACTCACAAGAGGTCCTACCACCAGATCGCCGAAACTAACTTACTTATGTAATATAAAGTGTATTCACAAGTAATCATATTTATATTCCACAATTTTAGCAGCCTAAGTCATAACATCGTACCGGATTCTGATACCTGTTTATTCATAAAACTTGATTTCTGCTTAAGTATAGAAAAACGGCACCATTCCGTGACTACGAGGAAACCTAACCACGTATGATTTATCAATAAAGAAATACAAAATCAAATATTTCTAAAACGGACACGCGTCTTCTCTACGGTACAGGAAAATCATTAATTTTCATCATCACATGGTCATGATCATGGTACACAATACTGAGTAGTATTAGTATGTATAGTATGTAGTAGTATTAGTATGATTCAAGCACTCCTATGTTTGAATAATTCTCATAAGAAATCTACCATTGCGATTCCTATACTACAAAACAAAGAAACAAACTCATCCACGCGGCCAACGTCGCCGCGTCGTGCTTGTTTTCAAACTGATGTCATGATTGATTACTCGCATAATTTCGGATGTATCTTGCTCTAATATTAGCCAACAAGCTGGTTTTGGTATACTATTTGGCAAAGGGACGCTCATTCACAATTCAATTGCGAGATGGACGAGTGCCAACACAAAAAGTAAAATTAATCTACAATCCATAAATCATGTTTTATTATTTGATAATGTTAAACACTTATTTTTTATTGTTGTCTACTTTTGTATTTGAATAACGAACAAATTAAATTATCGAGCATAACTAGGTATGTAAATGCACACATGCGTTGGTGTCATTGTCAACGTCTATTTTTTTTTTTTTATTAATTCAAGAGGCAAGGCACGAAAGAATTGCATACGCGCTAAGCTCTGAAGGACTGTTCTAAAATTGTCATAGAGGTTTGAAACGAAATCCTTCCTGTACAATTAACGAATTATTATACTCACGAATATATTATGTTCAATTCATTATTTTAAAGGTCAAGTATTTCTGAGGAACTCTTATTCTATATTACCAAAATAAAATAAACTAAGTCTGAAGTCATTATAATTAAAGATATATAATTTGAAATCGTTTCTTTGTTACAGCTTAAAAGGTTCGGTAGAACGAATTACATTTTTTTTCTCTTTGAGCTAGGTTTTGATTATAATAACTTTAACTTAAGCTCGTTAAAGCCCAAACGATTGCTAAATACAACATCGGAATTATCTTATAAACTTTAAACGGTAGTCATAATTCGTAAAAAGATCTACATATATACCAAATAAAACATTTATTATCATCATCTGATAGACTTCTCCTCATTTGCATCACTGAGCCTGAGCACTGAGGCTCTCCTTCTTCGATCAATATTATTGATCGGAGCTCTCCTTAATCAGTTTCTGCCAGGCAGCATTCCCATGTTATATCGTCTCTCCACCGTACTTTATTTTATAGAATTATGAACCGAGATTTCTTATTTACGTACGTTACTCGTATATAAATGACTAAAACCTCTATTTAGTCAATTAATTTATAATAATAGTATGCTTTGATTAAAATAGTAGCATTAACTTGAGAAAAAATATTAACAACAAAAACCAAATTAATGAAGAACATCAATTATGACCACCATTTTTATTTAAGTAATAAAATATCAGTACTGATTACTAGGATTAAAAGAAAAAAATCGCAATTTTAATTTGATCTTGCATGCATACTAAAGTAGCTAATATAATTAATACAATTTTACATTTATTTATAACAGAACAAAGAAATACCGCGTGTTTGTCTCGAGCGATGCTGCTATGCCGCCCGGCACGATTTTTTAATCCCATGGACATGTACCGATTATTCTTGCACAATATCTTTCCGAATTGTGTTGATACAAGCGAATACCAAAGGAAAAACAACGCGTATTAAGAAACAAATTCGGCAAATTGTATCTGTTTAAAACCGAAGGCGTATTGTTAACACAAGTGCCGCGAAATCGTTTGAATGATAGAACAATATAATTGAGGCTTCACAGGCTACCAGGGTGGGGACGGCAGTCACCTTCAGAGGAATTCTGTGGAGTCTATTTACTCCCGTGGACCTAAGAGGACCAGATGAACCGAACCGCTAGATCATATTTTGTCCGTTGACGTTGATGAAAACTGACGATTTTTATCGGTTTTTTCTTCAGCCATACGTACAAAACGGATCTCATTTTATGTCCATTAATCAACCACAGAGCCCAGAAAGTTACCAAAACGAGGGTTTCATACAAAGCCAATTTTTTACGAAACATTCATACAAAGGTCGGCCTTTGTTACAAGATAACGGAATCATTGTGATCTATTTGGTCAAGAAATGAATCGTAAAAGTTTATTCGATCAATTTACGTAGTTGTAAAGGCAGATGTGTTCTTTATGTTTATTTTCAACATTGAAATTTTCTGCACAAAAATTCATATACCCGCGTCATTCCTTTTTATAGCCTATTGTATTCTTTAATCACATGGGAATAGTGCTGTCCAAAGTTCAAAAGTATTACGTATTTTTTATCGCACAGATTACACTTTAACTGGACTTAAATATGTATATTCGCGTATATATTTATTGGCTCTGTACGGAGACGAACATACGGTTACGTGAT